TTAATTAAATGGGATATATATATATTAATAAACCATTTCCACCTTCACTCTTTCTTGCGTTCACATCGATCCCACTTCCCAGTACCTAATTTGTTACTACGAGTGCATGTGTCAATGTCATGTCCATTGGTATGTTAATTTGATACGTAAAGAAAAGACAAATGCTATATGACTAACAATAATGTTATCCTTATGGAATGTACTCGGTGAGACATGCCGCATGCAAGAAGAAAAGTGTTACGATCTTACTTCCAATATGGGAATATGGTTCAAGTATTTTTTACAAGATTTGAACAACACTCTTTTTTTTGACTCATCTTTTGTCATTGAGTTAGTAGGTTTGATTCACATAGTCTCTTTTTTTTTATTATTATTATTATTTTGGATCGAATTAGTATTTGTTTTTTTTTATATATATGAATAACATGACATATTACCGCAATATTGGTAGTTATATAATTTGTAGAATATTAAGTTAGAAAAGGGAGAAATTAATAATGGGAAAATGAAAATAAAAACATGGTGAATCTATTTGATATATATAGTAATATTCTGTTGAACAGTAGCATCGAAGGGCATTGCAAGTTTATTGGAAGACAGGATATGGATGAGCATAGCACGGGGGAATCTATTAATTGATTTGATTCACTCTCCTTGCCATTAGTGGTATGAGCATCAAAGAATATAGCCCCACTTGGGTACTTTAGTTTAAGTCGTTGGGAAAATTCTCAGCTAAATTAAAATAATGCATGTGATGCTTGGAAGAAGAATAAAGAATTCTTTTGGTTTTTATATCTGTGATCTGTCACTCAACTATCACCCATCAAATTAAGTTGCGGTTGCAGATTATAAGTCATATTATAATAACATGCAATTCAAATAAATCATCCGATCAATTAATTTGAACCGTAAAATATATGCTATTGTCGTGTATAACAGCAATTTGCTAGCACAAACTACAAAGAGAAACTTGCTTGGCATTACCAGATACACACAAATTGTGTTCAAATAATGCTGGATATTTAATATTTCTAGTTTGGAATGACAATCAACAAAGTAGTTTGGAGTTCATCTTATAAAATCTTAATTTAATTTTATATAATTAATTTATAAACTTGTATACATTATTATGATTAAAAATTATAACTTTTAATTACTTTATGTGGGATAACAAATGATCTAATAAGTCCATGATCAATTGTTAGACTAGTTTTTATAGAAATGTTTAAAATTGAACTAACTCAAAATAATAAAAAAATGCAAACCAATGCAAAAAAATAAAAATTGAAATCAATGTAAAGTGATTCCTAAAATAACTTTGACCTTTTTTTATTTTAGTTTCATAATAAATACTTAGTTATATTGATTTATAAATTAAGGAAGAGTAAGGTAATGATATAAGGTTATAATTGACAAAATGATACTCAAAGATGTCTTGAACTTTTAAAATGATACGTAAATATAAATAAAATTTTAGTAAAGAAAAATGTTAATTAGTGTCCTTAATGTACTGGTTAAAGAATAAAAAACTTAATTAAATTTTTTTTTAAAAAGTGTATTTATACATTTGTCATATATTTTTAGATAGAGGTTTTCACGAGTCGGGTTAGTTTGAATTTAAATAAAAATTTAATTCGAATTAATTAAATTTAATTAGTTTGAATTGATTTAAATTTTATAAAAAAAAGTTGTTAATTGACCGGGTTGATTTTGTTCGAGTCAACGCATATCTAATTATTTAAAAAAAATTCAAAATAAATAATTTTTAAACATTAACTAAATAAATATATTATGAAAAATCAACTAAATTAATAAATTTATAATATAATTTCTATTAATTTTTTTTCTTAATTCACTTAAATTTTTTAAATGTTTTATAATATGTGAAGACCACACACAATCTATTATAATATAATTCTTGATATCTTTAAGTATTTAAGAAAAAGAAATAAAAAATATATACATATTGTAATACAAAAATATTTTCAAAATAATCAAAATAATATATATATATATATAATCAAATAATAATAATAATAATAATAATAATATATAAATGAATTTGCTTGAGTTGGATTCATTCAGATTTTAAAATGTAAATCCAATACTTAAACTAATAAATATCAAATTTAATTTATTTAATTCAAATCGAACCTGGAAAAAAAAAAACCAATTTAGCCAGTTAAATTTGAATTATCGAATTCATTGGATTATAAACATTCCAACTTTATATTTGTTTCAAATAAAACTTTCTACATATTCATTAATCAGTGCCTTTATGGTTAACAAGACCCTTAAAACACGGAAGGGGTAATTATTACGTGGTTTTAAATTTTTAATAAACTTTTCTTTTTCTTATAAAAAAATCTTGGCTAAAAATCTAATTTGGTCCCTTATAATCTTTTTTGTTTTAATTTAGTCTCTCATTAATTTTTGGTCTCAATTTAGTCCCAAACTAATTAATTGGTTTCAATTTAGTCCCAAATTAATTAATTAGTTTCAATGTAGGATTTCCGTCCAAATTATTTAAACGGAATTAATTTTTGGCCACGCGTGGCATCTACGTGGATGAGAATTTTTTTTAAAACACCTAGACTGGAACGGCTCGTTCTGAAACCGGAACGGGCCGTTCTAGTTGCAAAATTAAAACACCATCAATGACTCAGAACGGGACGTTCTGGATTCAGAACGGCCCGTTCCAAAACTATGAATAAAATATTCTTTGCTTAATTGTGTTTTTGATATTATAATTATGCAATTTTGATCTCTAAAGTTTTAATTGAGTAATTTCAGTCCTTAAAAGATTATAGTTGTATAATTTTAATCTCACAATTTTTAATTGAACAATTTTAATATCTTAAATATCATAATTGTTCAATTTTAGTCTTTCTCATTAAAAATTTAATAATTTAATAATTTTAATATATATATATATATATAAT